GTCAATGCAAGTTATGCCAACATACCGTTTTAATTAAACCGCTGTTGCATGTCCACACTATGCTCCTTCTGTCGGCAGAGCGCATCCACAATAGCAGCTCTTGCATCGACAGAGAGCAGTGCACAGTGGGTAGCTTTGGGAAGGGTTTGCAATGCTTCATGGGGCAGGTACAGCATCAAATTATGCAGGTTTCTCAATCTCATCGTTCCAGGAGCATTCTACTAGATTGCCAGCTGCTCTTCAACTGCAATGTGTGGGGGGGCGGGGGGGGAGAGAGAGCCAGGGTGCGTGTTGGGAGAGTGTGTGAGAGGACGAGTGTGTATATGAGAGGGAGAGTGTGTGTGTGTGTGTTGGGGGGAGAGTGAATGTGTCGGCATGCTGTCTCTAAGTTCAGACAGCAGCTGGAAGCAATGAATCCTGAGGCAGGGGGAAGGGGGACACCCTCGATATCAGACCCTGCCTCCCTAAGTCTCTTCCCCCTTCCCTCTCCCCCCTGCCGCCCTAAGCAGCAGCCTGCCCTGCCTGCCTGCTGCGTTCCTAGTGCCAAGAAGAGTAGGATTCAGAGTTAACGTTTTGATTCTGTGATTCCCTCAGAGTACTCCCCCAGCCTCCTCTCCCCACAGATGAAGATGATCCACCCCTCCACTGTCGTCCAGGCAGGAGTGAGTTTGCTGCCGAAGCTGCCATGCTCAGCTGGGCTGTAGCTATGTAAGCACTCCACGCTGAAGAATTTCAATACTTCCTAGGGCTTTGAAAGGGGACGAGTGCATGCCTGTGTAGCTGGATAGAGGCAGTGGAATTCAAAACAGTGAGCAGAGCAGTCATGGTGGGCATTGTGGGATACCTCCTGGAGGCCAGTTACAGTGATGTAAGGAACACAGTGACTACACTGATGTTTTGTCGCTCTAACTTTGTTGCAAAAAGCTTTATGCTTCTCGTCAAGGTGATTTTATTTTGTTGGCAAAACAGGGGAGAGTTTTGTTGCCAAAAGTAGCATTGCAGTATGTGCACCTCCACTGTTTTGTCAGCAAAATCTGCCTTTTGCCAACAAAACTGTGAAGTGTACACAAGGCCTTATAGTTGTACTCCATCAATGACGTCTATATCCAACCTGCTTACTTAACATGTCTTCAGAAAATTGTGCAGCCATTTTTCTGACTATACCCACATGAATTTTAAAGTCTTACTTACATCTAATACTCTGAAATTAATCCTTGACAGAACTAGAGCTTAATCAAAATTTCTGATTTCCTTACACTCTGAAAAGGAAGCCAGATTACAACCAATCTTACCTCAGTTAATCCATGGTTGATGTCCTATGACAGCAATGCACAAAGGTAGCAATAATTAAGAGTAAAAAGCAGCATTAGTGTCTGCATTAATTATTCTTCTCTGAACCAGCAAAAATATTTAACTACAGTATTTTTAAAAACTGATTTATTAGAGAAGCAAATAAAAACATAAAAATTTTGCATTTAGAATTAATCTACAGACTATAACAAGATACTTTTAATTACTATATCTAGGGTCTTTAAAAAACGGTGCTACAGTAAAGTTTTCTTGGATGGACGGCACTAAAATAATCAATGCTAAGTTATGGGAAATGTATTATAAATGTTATATTAACAGTAATATCAATTTTTAAAATCCTGGCATTCTACATATAATGCTTACTTACTCACTAAGTCTTTATGTAAAAAGCAAGCTTTTTGCTTCTTCCCTTTTCTCAAGTTGTTATACCATATTATATGTTAAATGCAACAAAGCGTTAGTACATGCTTTGATTTTCAAGGTGCAAAAGCCACTTAGAGCATGAGTTTAGATAAATGCTCATTTGTTTCCATAATCTGTAACTACTTTATTGTACACAAAGATTAAGAGAGAATGTGCAACTTTTTGGATGGTCTTGGAGGGGAATTTAGTGATAGAAGAGGCATATGTTGCTGGAACACTTAAATTCGCTCTTTCCTGCATGTTTCCCTGTCATCCTCTGTTGAACGCTAAGACAGAGATTTCCCAAGGGTAGAAAATGGAAAATAAATTTAAATAGCACCAAGAAGTTTTTAAAAAATCAGTACTATAAAGAAAAATCTCAACGGACCAGGATGTCTGAATCCCTCACTTATAAAAGTTAATGGCCAAAATGATAACTGCAAAGGTGTTTATTTAACACACATACTCCACACACACACACACACACACACACACCCACCCCTACCTTACCGTCTCTGAAACACTAGCTTACCTAGAAGTTCTCCAAATATAATGCATGTGAAAGTGCACATTTGTGGAGCTGTGTGTACACATGGCACCTGTTATTTTTTTCCCCTAATCACTCAGACTACAGTAATGTCCTTTAAACAAAATCTTAACTGCTTTTAAAACAACTCGTTATATTAGTATTTTATTATTAGACTATAATGGTCTTTTTCCAACTCATGTCTACCTCATGGTTGAAGGCTGGCATTGGCAAAGTTCTTCCAGTGACTTGGAACAGAGCCCAAGGAGTTGACAAGCTGTGTTTCCCAAATAGAAGCTATGATACGATATGCTATTTGTGTTCAGAGAACATTTCATTTGGTCTCAAGTGAACCACCAGAAGGTATTTTTAAGAAGACAAACACTTCCATCGCTAGAAGAGTGAAAAACAACTGTACTGAATTCTGGATGACCACTAAAACTTTCAATTAAAGTCTAACAAAAGAATATTACCATCAGATTTTAGCTAAGAAGAACTGAAGCAAACAAGCCACTGTACATATAAAAAGTTTTATTCCCAGAGTTAGCTGATTAATAAAAGTAGATCCCCGAGCTAGAATACTGACTAGAAGGAAAGTGCTTCCAGATAAAGGTCTGTGTTAAAGTTCATCCAGTAAGTGACTGAATTGATCTGCCAGAGCTGGCCAGGTATGTAGCTCAACAGAATACCTCATGGCAAATAACTCAGTGCCAAAAAAAAAAAAAAAGTCGTCCTCTTGAAACCTCTAGAATCAGGTCCTCTAAAGTTTAGGGAAAGAAAAACGACAAAGATGATGTCCATCGTGTTATGGACCAACTGACAATCCTCCCTCCCCCCACCCAAAAGCAATCATGACACATGATGGCTCCCCTCTCCACTGAAATTCATATTCAAAATCTCAACAATGAATGTGCCTACAGAGTACCTAACAAGGGTTTTCAACTTTTCATAGAGCATTTGAGCCCAGAAACCAATGAAAGCAATAGCGGCAAAAAAATATCAACCCCATAAACCTAACAAGCAAGCCATCACAAAAGCATGACAATCCTACCATGCTGAGGCTAACAAAAGTTGGATCAGGAAACCTCTGTAGAGCCAAAAATAAAGAACATATCTACCAATGAAGAGGTTTCATCTGAATTGGATAAAAGGGTGAAAAAATGCACCTGCAATGAGATCTAGAATACAGATACACATATTGGGTGAAGAGACTAAGATAGGAACATTCTCTTCTGATAAATACAAAACAGGTCCCAAAAAGTTGAGATTGTACAGAAAGGAGAAGAGATTTAATCAACTTTTGACGAAACCTTTACTGTGAGGGAAATCTTTACTGTATTTCCTTCTTCACCATTGAAGTTCTTCAGCTACCAGTAAGAGAAATAATTTACCAGGTGTCAGTACTGAAACTTCTCCCTCAAAGTACCTTAAAAGAATGACACAGGAATGAAAGAATAGTCAGGGAGGATGACCTGAAATGGATTCAGTCCATCCATCAATAAGCCAGACTTAGGACACTCAGCTAAAAAAAACCCCGTTATTATTTGTATTACTGTAGTGCGTAGGAGCCATAGTCATAAACTGGGACCCCACTCCGTTAGGCCTTGTATCCTGGAGAACTCCCTACCATTAATGCATATGCTGAAAATAGCACTAAGTGAATAAGAGCCACAGTAGAAGTGCTGAAAGAATAATTACTCCCATTGAAAGGACCATCAAAGATTTCTTTGGTATGAAGCTCAGTGCTAAAGAATTGTTTTAATTTGGACCATGCTCCAAAGAATGAAGGTGGGAACAAAATGAACAGACTGTTAGGATTTTCCATAAGCAAAAGATAAAAGATATGTCCCCCTCACTTACTGGCTCAATATGTCAAGTAAGAACAAAATTCACTTCCTTGGAACACATCTTCACCTCAAGCAGTTTGTACAAAAAAGTGATTTGTGATGGACAAAATGTGGTATTTCTCAAAGTTTCAATTGGCATTTTTTTCCAAACCTCACCAAGGAACTGAGCAAAACAGTCATGCCCCAAAGTTTTAACAAGAGAAGAACTCAGACTTACAGTTATAGGTTCGACAGTCAAATAATAAAAAAAACCATATACCTGTAAGGGAAAGTTTTAATAAGTTCATAGATTTTTAAGACCAGAAAGGACAGATAGATCATCCAGTCTGACCTCTGGCACAGCACAAGCCATAGACTTTCACTCAATTACCCCTATAATGAGCCCAATAATTTGTGTTGGACTAAAGCAGTTCATCCAGAAACACATCCAATTTTGAAGGCTTCAAATGATAAAGAATATCACTTCCCTTGGTAGTTTGTTCCAAAAGTTAATCGCCTTCATGATCTGTGCCTTATTTCTAATTTGAATTTGTCTGGCTTTAACTTACATACAATGGCTCTTGCTGTCTTTCCCCACTAGGTTAAAGGATCTGTATCTGGTATTTTGTCTTTGTGAAGGTACTTATACACTATAATCGAGTCACCTCTCACTATTCTCTCTGATTGTCTAAACCTTTTGAGTTCATTAAGTCTTAACCACAAGGAATTTTTTCCCAGCCTTCAAATAATTTTTATGGTTTTTATGTACCCTCTCTAATTTTGCAATATTATGCTTAAAAATACAGATACCTGAACTAGATGTCTGCCTCTCCAATGCTGTATACAGAGGTCAAGTCATCTGCATATTCCTCACCACTCCTCTCCTGTTTACACATCCAAGGACTGCATTAACCCTTTTTGACACAGTGTTGCACTGGGAGCTCATGTTCAGTTGGTTGTCCACTATGGCCCCTTAATCATTTTTAGAGTCACTGCTTTCCAGGATTCAGTTCCCTATTCTGTAGGTATGGTCTGTATTCTTTGTTCCAAGATGACTTTGTCTTTGACTATTAAAGCACATTTTGTTTGTTTGAATATGTCCATTTTACCAAGTGATCCAGATCACTCGTGTGACTGCCCTGTCTTCGTTATTATTTACCACTCCATCAATCTTTGTGGCATCCACAAGTTTTAAATCAGCAATGATTTTATATTTACTTACAGTTTACACCTCTACCCCGATATAACGCTGTCCTTGGGAGCCAAAAAAGCTTACTACGTTATAGGTGAAACTGCGTTATAATCGAACTTGCTTTGATCCGCCGGAGTGCGCAGCCCTGCCCCCCCCGGAGCACTGCTTTACCGCGCTATATCCGAATTCGTGTTATATCGGGGTAGAGATGTATTAATGAAAATGTTGAATAGTATCAGGCCTAGTGCAGATCCCTGTGGAACTCCATTCAAAATACTATGTTGGTTTTTCATTAACAACTACCTTTTGAGAGGTGTTTGAACAATTGCTTGTGTAGCTGACTTTGAAAGCCCTTGGGCAGATAAAGCACTAGACCAATAAGGGCTCTTTTTATACTAAAAATTTCATTAATATAAAATTAAGGTTGTTCAATTTTATACCTTATTAACATAATCACCATTCAGCCACTGTGATTTTTGAAGGCATTTTACAAAGAACAAGAGATACCCAAAGACTAGAGGGAAGCTACAGTCATATTTTAAAAGGGAACACAAAGGAACAGGAAACTCACCATTCCATATGCCTGCTGCTGGATCCAGTTGATGTAGTCATTTCTGATGTCTATCAAGTCTTGTATTTCATGAATGTAAAATTTGTCATACTGTATAATTTGTCCTCCTCTCTCATTTACCTGAAGAAAAGTATGATTGTTTACTTTTCATTATTTTTATTTTTCATTATTATTACTTGCTACTAAAAGTTTGCTTAGTCTCTAATGTTTAACATAAAAAGTCTTTTTAAAAAACAAACAATTTAAGCTATGTCAATCTAACTGAACTTGGATACCTTACCAAACAAAAACTAGGAAAGAGGTTTTCCTTCCCAACAGAGTAAACATTAAAGGTGTCCAATGCCCACAAGGACAGAAGAAAGGACGTACGGGAGGTTGAAATGTAGATTATTCAGAAATCCCATGAAATTGCAAGAAAAATGGAACAGCGATAGCTGCAGAATATAGTTACATACTGTACAGTGCTGTCATTTTTAAATTACTGCAGACTTAAAAGTGAATGAAGCCTTGTGAGATCCACCAGAAACCACATTCTGGGTGGCCATCTCATATTTGCTCATTTAAAAGTCCAAGGATAGAGGAAAGAGTGGGGGGATGAAGAAAACTCTCTATTCAAGTACTATTTTTTGTTTGTAAAGGCCCTGACTAAAGTGCAATTTTTAACCTAGTTTGTAACCGATTAATGACAATTGCTTTGAACAGCGTCTATCAACACATAAGCTTAGCTACCTATGCTTATGGTTAACTAGGAGTCTCCCTTGTTAGTCGTACATGGTGGTACATGGTTTTCTTCCTAAAAAGAAAACATTGTTATTTTGCCTCCCAGGCAGGATCCTCCAAACCTGGCTGTGTAACCAGAATGCCTGATACTTCTTCCTTCCAGATTTTGGTGCAACAGGACATCCCATAGTATACTGCCCTACTTGCTCCTGTGTAGGGTTTATTTCCTCCTGGTACTTAATCCCCTACTAAGCCAGTATGGGATAGCTACCCAGATTTTTCCAGAATTTACTGATACAAACACAGTTTAGCAGCATACTAGGTGTGGATGCCAACCTGGCTGCTGTGTGGCTGTCTTATGGAGGAGGAGGGAAATTGCTATGTAGATACAATATAAGTTTACTGTAATCTAGGAAGACTGAAGTACCAGATAAGAGGATGATAATATGTTACAAAAACATGATTTTACTTACAGTATAGCTAGGACCCCCCCCCACACACACACACATATGCCCATCCAAGCTTAGAAAGACATGAATGTAGAAGATGAAAATACTTCAGGAATTCATATCATTGCTTTAAAAAGGCCAACTTCTATTGCCCCTCCTTCCATTTTCTGTGTCCCAAAGATGAAACCACTGTAATACTGCAATACAGTAGAAGGACAGGCAGATAACTTTAGAAGAGATCTAAAGCAACCACTAAAGGCATGTGTGCATAATATTCCTATTATGGAAATCAAAACAGACAGCACAGCTGTAAAGATTTCAATCAGGCTGTCTTTTTGAACATTAGTCTGCCATTCCAATTAATGCCCTGCACAGAGTCTGCTCTATGAAATCTGGAATTTCCTGTGAAGCAACAAGGGGCAGTGCAGCAGTAAAAACTACCATTTTTTAAACTGCACTTCTTTCACAGAGAACAGTAATATAACATCAAAAAACATGAACTGAAGATGTACAGGTCTCCAAAACTAGATGTACTCTGGGGGTCTCAGAGTACAATGGTTCTCATAAGGGATGCAACACTGTGCTGATTAAAGGTCCCTGAACATCTGAGAGCCAAGGGAAGATGGAGATCTGATCAGATCCAAGGGTTTATGAAGGCAGCAAAAGAAAAAAAAGTTTATTCACCTTAATTGAAGTTTTAGTAGTTTGTAAGAACACACACTCTCCAAACATACCCCCCACCCTCCGCAAAACTTTGGCTACTGGGAGCTGTGAAGACTTCCACTTGAAGCTACAGAATATTTTAGGTAATGTTATAAAAGGAGGCGTGGTGGCAATGGAGAGTAAGCCCTGTACTGTGCACTGACCATTTACTCAAAGAAATCCAATTACATGTAAGCAACTTATTTTTCTTCTTTGAATATTGTTGCTGTCATTGGGAGATTGACAAGCATTAAGCTCTCTCTAAAGAAGTGAGTTTGACAAGAGTAATTCAACAATGACTGCAGAACTGCTCTCCCAAACATAAGATGATTAGTTTAAGTGTGTGGGGGGGGTCAAATTATTGAGGGGGAGCCTGGTACAATAGGTCTGCCTTCCAAGAATTTAAGAGTATGGTGTCAACAATAAAGTCCCAATCAATTATGCCAGGAACTTATAAATTTGCACAGTCACTGGCTGACTGTGCCAGCATGTCAAACCAATCTACAATTTCCATGAGTAGTGGAAGCTCAAAACCCTGCTACTCTGGATAAAAGGTCTTGGAAGAGTAAAATCTTCTGGTGGAGAGACAGATGTCTTTCATAACATCTTCCATGTATTTCATCTTCCTTATGGACATTCTCTTCCTTTTGTATATATTATTCATTAACCAACCATGGAACAGGAAAGACAGATGCCTCAACAGGTTTCAAGGTTGACCTTTCAGGTGCATATGATGGAAAAACATTAGAAAGTCATCTCCACTCCTGTGCTACCTCACTCCACAACAAATAATACCACCTTGCTTTTACATAACACTTTTCACCAGTAAATCTCAAAGCACTTCACAATTTTACAGATGGGAAAACTGAGGCACAGAGAGGTGATATGACTTGCCCAATATCATCCAGCAGGCCAGTGGGAAAGACAAGAATAGAACCCAGGTTTCCCCAAGTCCAGCACTCTATCCACTAGGCAACGCGGTCTCCTTTCTCAGAAAGGAGGTCTAATTTGAGAAGCAGGAAACCAAGGATCCCAAAAGTAAGCCTTCAACTCCATCTCACATGGCAACAAAGCAGACTCCAGAAACCCTCAGATCTGACATAAATGGGGAGTGTTTGGCAATGGGCTTCTACTCAGCTGAACAGACGATGAAGCCTGTAATGGGAAGGAGTAAATATAGTCCTCCATGTCCTCCCTCGAGAACAAAGACCAAACCAGGAAAGGTAGCTTCACTGGAGAAGATTAGCTTTTACTTGGTACCAGGAGAGGAGACTTAACCTTCTGAACTGGGAATAAAGACTTTTCCCTCTGAACTAGGAGCACCAAGAGCAGGAACCTCTACTTCAGCATCTTACAGTTCCACCAATTGGTGCCAATTTTGCTGGAACTGCTATTCTCACGGGGAAAAAAAGTGGGCCTTTGCAATCTCCTTTTCTCACTCTTGATACTGAGAAAAGATGTTTTGGTGCTGAGCCCAATGCTACCTTTGGCTTCTCAGACCCTTTTATAACTGGACTTAGATTCACCCCAAGATCGGAACTTAGAAGACCTAGAGATAGTTCCAACTCTCCATTTACTCTGAAAGCTTTAAGAATTGTACTATCATGGACTTCAACAAAGATTCATAGCTCCTGCAGGCCTGGACAGTGAACATCATACATGGAACTTCTGCTGGGTAAATATCCTGCAGCAAGCAAGAAAGGCTTTACCTATGGGGGATCTGTAATGGACATCTTGTCCACACAAGAAGGGTGGTCCTTAAATGCAGTCTTATTCCAAAGTACTGTCAATACCGCAGAAAATTAACTCAACTGGGTGAGTCAGGAGGACAGTTTCTAAGGAAGAAAAACATTTATCTGCCTAAGGATTTATGTAAAACATTAATCACTGTGTTCAATTAACTATTAAACTAAAAGCAGCCTAAAACAGGAAGATGAAAACCAAAAAGAGGCAGATGAATTGAAAGTCCAGAGACCAGAGGAAGTTCAAACTTGCTGCTTTGGCAGCTGTAAAGAATCAAGGATGGGCAAGAGTCCTGTTTCCATATATAACTTCGCCTGGAATGTCCCACAGCTAGAGACAAAGCCTAAACTGCCCCAAGAGTCTCAACTTTTTTGGAAAGTTTCCAGGCTTTGGTGCAGTGTACAGGCACACCTCAAAAGTAGGTCTCTCCGCTAATAATATTTGAAATTAAGGATTCAACTGGCTCTCCACATCAAATCTCATGCACTGAAGCCCCATAATATTTCATGATATAGCTCAGTGGTTTGAGCAATGGCCTGCTAAACCCAGGGTTGTCAGTTCAATCCTTGAGGGGGCCATTTAGGGATCTGGGGCAAAAATCTGTCTGGGGATTGGTCCTGCTTTGAGCGGGGGTTGGACTAGATGACCTCCTGAGGTCCCTTCCAACCCTGATATTCTAGGATTTTATTTTTTTAAATTGTTATTAAATATACATAGTGCACAAATGGCCCAAACAGGATCAAGGCCTGAATATGCTAGATGTTGCACACACACACACACACACACACGCACACGCACTCCTTGCCCCAAAGAGCATATAAAGACAAAATGCAATGAGAGAGTAATGAACTACAGAAAGGAAGGGGGAAAGAAAGACTGTGATAGCTAATAAGGCAATGCAATTACACAGGCATGCAATGTGAACAAAATAAAGGTTCCAAATTATGAAAACCATTTTTGTCAACATTCAGAACTTCATTGTCACTAAAGATTAAGTTTCAATGCTAATACTCTATTTAAATAAACTGGGAATAGGAGGGAGTAATCATAATTCTCTCAGCAATGCTGTCTTTTTTTTTTTTTTAAGCTGCAGTCTTAAAATAACTGCACATCAATTTATTGTCTCAATTTTATTATGGTAAATGAAAGTTTGAGTCTTCTAATGTATTTTACTGTATTCTCTAAAATATAAATTACTCCATTCAATTTGCGCTTCCATGAAAACTTATAACTGTCCTACCCAATGAGAGCATCCACATGCTTGCCAAACTAAAATTTAGTATTCCACTGATTTAGACATCCAGAAGGCATTGCTAACAAGAAAACTATATAGTGTCAATTCATAGAAGAATTCTAAATCAGAGCACTTTCATTCCTTCACTGATTACAAAATAAAAAGGGATTTAATTAACACTGCACAACAGTTAACAAAATAAGCAATTTGGAAACAACAATCCGCTTAAAATAGCTCAGGACATACCCTATGTAAAATTTCCAGAACTTTGAGAGAAGTGTGTAGAAAACTGGTAAAGATTCTTCTTTCAGAATTGGGGATACCAATCTTGTATAATTTCAGGAGGTGGACCACAACATCCTTGTACAGCTCCACTATCTTGAGGAACAATGGAGGTTCAAGTATAGACCACCAGTTTTCTGTCAATAAAGAGTGAACATATACATGTAACACTTATAATCACATCTTTCAGTGTTATACTGCCCTTCTTCCTAAAAATTATACCTCCCAGAGATTGAAAGCTATAAAGAGATTAGGGTGGAGAAATAGGAACATAATTTTCATCTCTTCTGAAATGAACTGGTGTAGGAAAACTGTTTAGAATTGGAAATGGTTATCTACCTTTCCGTAGCTGTTATTCTTCAAGGTGTGTAGGCTCATGCCTCCTGCACAGAAATTGGAGATTTTCCCCCCTCAGTATTACCCACTGGGGTGACTTAAGCATGCTCTGTTGACACACGCCACTACACGCTGGTACAGTAGACCCCGCTATAATGCCCTTCGCAATAGCGAACCTTGGGCAATAACAAACGTGGTCCCTGGATCCCACCTCAAGCCTTGCTGGTTATGGTGGGGGGCTGACAGCTTCTCCAGCCCCAGAGCTGCGGGGCAGGGGACAGCGGGGGGGGGGGGGGGGAAGAAAGATGACAGCTCCTGCGGCCCCAGGGCCGCAGCTGGGGGGCAGAGAGCTGGTGAAACTAGTACTGAGAGGCTGAGCAAGTCCCTTGCAGCTGCATATCCCTCTCAGTTTCTCAACTGTCTCTCAAGGGACAGCCCCGACAGACCTGGCATCAGCTCAGGAGGCAACAAAACCCTTTTAGCAGCTCTCTCTGCCACACACTCAGCAGAGTCCTTGCCTCTGTCTTGCCTTGGTACCAAGGTTGATGGGCGAGACACTGAGCCTGAAGAAGATCTGCGTCTCTTCTTTGGCACCGGTGATCGTGATCGAGAAGCTGAAGATATTTTTGATGGAGCACTCCGTACTGACACTGAAGTATTTGGGGTGCTCTCCTTCAAAGGGGAGTCTCAGTGCTGCTTTCATAAGCAAGCACTTACGCCTTGCTGCTCTGTCCTTCTTTGACCAGGATTTGAAGCCCTTGCAAATGTGACACCTGTCACTAACGTGTCTCACCCATGCACTTAAAGCAGGTTAGATGGGGAAATCACTAACCAGCATCAGCTTTGAACAAGAACAAGTCCCACAGGACTTACACCCTGGGGAGCAAGGCATCTTTCCAGTACTGAGCTCAGTACTAAAAAAAGGACAAACAGTCCAAAAGGACACCAAAACCCCCCGGAAACATAACACTAATTTATCTAAGAAAACAAAAATCTAAGAACTAACAATAACTGCAACTATCTACGAGAGAGGGAAGGCACTTGAGTTAACCAAACCAAGATCGCTCCAACAACCATCACAGGCAGTCAGAAGGAACTGAGAGGAGTCGAGGGGGTTCCGCCCTCTTATAGCCAGCATGCAGTGGCATGTGGTGACAGAGGGCGCTCAAGCCACCCCAACAAGTACTGCTGTGGGAAAAAAATCTCTGGCATCTGTTTACAAGACATGCACATACCTACAATGGAACGGACACATGCTATCACTTGAAGAAGAAATTCCAGATACTTGGCTTAAAAATAGGGACATTGGGACATTATGCTGAAATGTTCTGGGGGGTTTTTTAAATCCAGGAATTTTGGAAAAAAATAGAAGTTAGTGGCAAATATGGATGCTAGTATCTATTGCACTGGGGCAGCTTTGAAAGGAGATGAAGAGGCAGCAAGGTAAGCATATTGAATAGGCAGACAGAGGGGATTCCAAAAGAGCTGCATGTTTGTCAGTATGCAGCTGCGTATGGAGACAGAAAAATGTCAGGGGACAGGAGCTATAGAGCTATCCCTAAAGTACTGCCTCCTTCTACGGAAACGGTTGTAACATGATGGGCGTGCAGCAAACTTTTGAAGTAACAAGCTGTTCCTAGCACAACACTTTGTTAAGTCTTTAAATCTGAACATTCCTTCATTATAAATTAACTCTGCACAATTAAACAGTTACAATTACAATACACTCTAATGGAATCAGTTTTGTTATAAACAGAGGAAATAAAATATGATATAATTCAAATATAAATTAAAGCCAGAAAATCTGTGGGGAAAAACATGTCAAACAGCTATGGGAAGACATAGTGAAAGCTGCACTGTCTAAAAGGAAAAGGATCTTGAGGCAATAAAGACAGCTAACAGGATATGAAATTGTAATGGAACAGGGTAAGAAAGCTAGAGTGGTTTTAGGCTGTATATGAACAGATATCCTGTCTCAGAATAGGGAGGCAATATCCCTCTATGCAGCACTGGTGAGACCTATTGAAGAAAACGGTAAAATGCTTTGTCAAAGTAAATCAAAGATGTGAATTCAATGTCTGTTCTTTAGCAATCCTGGAAACTGACTACGGGATGCTGTTTGGCAAGACAGGTGAGCTATGACTCTTCCAGCACGACAGCAACTATCTACAAGAGAGGGCATATGATTTCTTGGAAAAACAAACTGCCTCCCCCCCACTCACATTCTTTGAAGAGTGAAGATGAGTGAAAACACACCTGATTATGCAGATTTAAATTTTACTGATAATCGTGAGTATGAAGAGGACATAGAAAATGTAAACACTAATTAATCAGTCTAACAGGAAACATGAAAACCCTCTAAATCCTTTAAAAGAAATCCATGAACTACAGAGATTCTCACTCTCAAAAGGAATCAGACTGAAGACAGTGATAACCGATCCATTTTATGGACTGGCAAGTAGCTCACGCAGATATTAAGGAAGATACACACTTTCCTACCTAGTTAGGAACATACCTCTCGGTGATTGAGTAATAGAGAAGAGAAAGAACTAGATTCCTAACTTTTTCTTTGAGGGATTCTACAGAATTATATATAGAGAAATTTTTGCAGATCCTATGAATTCATTTCTGCAATTTCCACATACTACCAATATTCAGCTAGAGAGAGTTTCAACACAGAAGATTTAAAAAAAAATTCTTACCAAGTACTTTCAGTGGAGCTTTTTCTAGATTTACAACAGCTGTTCCAAAAGGAATAGCTAATGTTGTAAAATTGTTCACATCACTCATCAGTGGGCATTCTGGTAGAGTGAGATACAGCCTTAGGGCTTCAACATCAGGTAAGGAAGTAGTCAATTTAGGAATAAGGTTCTTCTCCAAACTAGCTGCAACCTACAACATTGCATAGACGTAAACTCAGTTTATTTTAAAACAAAAAATGAATAAGCAAACATCTGAAAGTATAAACAGAAAGTTAATGAAAGGGCTTGATCCTAATATGACACGAGCAGGTGTGCAGTGCAGAACAATAATTTGAAAATAGTTTTACTGCATGCATGTGCGTAAGCACAATAGTGAAGCTATTCGCTTCATGTACCAATGTTTACCTTAGATAAAAACAGAGTAACTATTCCATAGCAAAAGCTTCATAGTTAAACACTTCAAAGTGTGCTTTGTGGAAAGATGAAGGATACAGTGCAGGAAATATACAATGCTTAACACAAACCATATTAATTTAGAAAAAACAGACCTAGATTATTATACACATTATAATGTTCTATTATCTATGTACATATTACAGCATTAAAATAGAAAAGGTATGGAATTAAAATCACAGATATTTAGACACAGAAAACGTACTGTGTTGTTTACTGCTGTCACTACAAAATGTTTTTACAAACTCCTCATTAACTTAGAACTGGTTTATACAGATTACATTTTTATACTAAAGAACCAGACCAAGGTGTAACACTACAGAATTTATGAATCCGTATAACTACATCTAAGGAAGATTTGCAGGACAAACCTGTTGTGATATACGAGGATGGTCAGGACTTATAAGTTTGTGAAATAGTAGTCTAGCAGCGTTCATATCAACCCCCGAGAATCGAGCACTAGTTCTATAGTGATCATCATTGCTGAAGGGGAAAAAAAAAAAAAAAAAAAAGGGCTGTAAGAATCTTGCATTCACCTCCTCTCCACACCTCACCCTCCCCGCCCCAGACATTTTCATTTCTGCTTCAATAAACTATCTTGAAATCTGAGATTTACAAGATTACCCACTCACCTGACAGCTAAAAAACTCCCATTTAGGCAGCCAGCTGAAGAAAATGTTCCATCTATTTCACTAAAAAACATATGTATAAGAAAAATTAGATTTACATATCAAATGAAAGTTTGTGTTTACTATAAATTGTTATTTATACCCCAATGACACTTCACATAATATCTAATCATGCCTATCTGCAATATCAGTAAATGAAATTGGATAAGACAAAATGCTAACTTGAGATAGTCAAAACAAAATTTTCATTGGACAGCTTTGTGTATAGGAACTGAAACAGCAGACCCCAAGTTCTGAATGTTTCTCAAAGAAAAATAAACTTGTATAAAGTTGGTACTTTTCTACAGAAAATACTTCTGACACTTGAACTGATTCAGGCAATCACTTTTATATAGTGCTTTTTAGGTAGCTTCTTTCGTGGACTTTAAATGCTAATAGATATCTTTTTGCCAGTGCTATTAGACATCTGATCTATGAAAACTGATAATGGGCCCTGGCTTTATCCACAACCAAAACACACATTAAATTAGTGGTACAAGATCCCCTCTTACAAGTGGCCTGTTATTTTATTACATATTATAAAAAAACCTTTCAGACTAGCAAAGTGAATGCGTGAAGAGAAAATTCACTCACAACCTATTCCTAGATGCATACTGTTAGATGTGAAGTTTGTGAATATAAACATTTTTGCTAATTTACAAAGTATGAATTTGTTCAGAGAGCTAAAAAAGTCACTGAACATCAATGAATAGCTAGTATTCACTAAAAAAAATATGTTAAAACTGAGAAACCACATGCACATTATATCTCATGCAACGAATAGCTACAGAATATACTGCACATATACAATAATAAATCCACAGAACTCTGCATTAATAAGCTTGAGGAAATAATATTTCAGTTGCTTGGATTTCTCTTTATTTTATACTGCAACTATAGGAATTTCAGTCCAGTAGGGAAGGGCCATCTAAACTCAGAAATAACCACGGTCAACCTGGCCTACCAGGGAACAGGGAAATGTCCTGAAACCCAGGGAAGCTCATCTCAAAAAAAAATCTGTGTTCTAGCTGAGAGGTCTGACTCTTTAGAACTGCCAAAGGGGCAGGTTTCTCACTTGCTTTGTCCCACCAGGAGCAGCCCCTGTAGTATCCTCATTCAAAAGTCAGGGGCTGCTACTTTTTGAGACGTTTTCACTTCTGAATCAAGTGCGAGCGTATATTGCAGACCCAGACAACGAACACCGCTTGACACTCTAATCTGATTATGACAACAGAAAAGTACTTTGTATTACAGGCTGCATTTATAAATGAATTTCTTTTATCCCAACTCATTTATTAGTTATGAATGGCAGCAAAATTGAAATTCACAAAACACTTACAAAAACACAGTTTCACATTATGTATGGAGGTAGCTGGTAGCACATGGCCTTCACTCTTCTATTCCTTCCCTTTGAGATTCTCAGTTCACTTTCCCTCTAAAGCCTGACCTGTTCTCCACCTATGTTCCTGAGGCCATTACTTTGATGACCAACGTTCTGTCAATACTCCCACTCAAGTCATCTGTCCTGATGTCAAATTCCCAATACTTTACTGTTCTTTAAAGGTCTGTATAAAAAGTGATTAAAAGTGATCACTCAACCAGTAGATCTCAACCAGCTGTACTGAGTTAAAAGGAGTTAACATGGATCTAAACCAGCAGTTCTCAAACTGTGGGTCAGGACCCCAAAGTGGGTAGTGACCCCATTTTAATGGGGTCACCAGGGCTGGTTTAGACTTGTTGGGGGCCTGGGGCTGAAGTATGAGCCACTCCACCTGGGGCCGAAGCTGAAGCCAGAGGGCTTCAGCCTCGGATGGTGGGGCTCAGGTTGCAGGCCCCCTGCCTGGGGCTGAAGCCCTTGGACTTCTTTTTTTCCCCCTGTCTAGGGCAGTGGGACTCAGGCTTTGCCCCACCCCCACCAGGGCGGTGGTGCTCGGGCGAGCTCAGGCTTTGGTCCCCACTCCTGGGGTCATGTAGTAATTTTTGTTGTCAGAAGGGGGTCGCAGTGCAATGAAGTTTGAGGACCCCGATGTAAACAAGGGAAAAGATCAAGGTTACCTAACCTCAACCTCTTTTCCCAGTCTAGACAACCCATACAGGCTCCTTTTCCCCTACCCGAGTCCCTATGCACACCTTACCCCACTAATATCTCATAATCCCTACCTTGAGTCCACATTTTGTATCTTAAATGTTTGTAATTACTTTTTATTTAGTTGCTTCAACAGGAAGGAAGTAGAACTACTATAAGGCTTTAAATTGCATTACAAGCAGCATAGTCAAGAATAAAGTTCTGATGTGTACAGCAAAGACAATAATTAAAACATTCTTTGTGAAAAACTTTCATAACTGTGTATATGTATTATAATTTAGTTTAGTTTTCAAAGATATTTTTCTCAACAATTTAATTTGTTCTTACTCAGCTATCTCCACAGGAAGCCTTCCAGTTGGACAAGTCAGCAATTTCTGAATAAATACTTCGTTCACAGTCCAGATCTGCTTTGAAGAGTCAGGACATCTGAAGTCATCTGGTGGCATCATGTTCTAAATTTAGAAGAGGGATGTCAGCCATAGAAAGCAGAACAATTTTCTCATTTATCAGTCTTACTGAGGAAAGCAAACCCCTAAAATGTAATTGACAAAACTCTTTATTCATACATTCATGTTCCATGAGAATATTACAATAGTGAAATACCATATTAGAAGACAGAAACCAGATTATGCAACTTTCATTTGAATAAAGTATATTTCGTGTTAGGCCTTTTAGCTCTAGCTGGGAAATAAATTTTTGAATGTTGATTGCAACTGGTATCTAAGTTACATTGTAATATCCCTTCAAACCCTACAGAAGATGTTACTGGAATAGCATAAAGAATAACAGCAGGTTTTCAGAGAAATATACAAGTTAAATGCAAGTGAAAACCAATGAGTTTTTTCAATTTGCTTAATACAAAACTGATTAATTTCAAATGAATAACTAACTATGCAAGACTAGATAATATTACTTGCTGTGAAATGAATATTTCTTAAAGGTTTTAATAATGAGGGTCATTTTTTTAGGAAGAGATCCTCTTATGGGCACCTCCCCTCCCAACGCTGATTACACATCCCATCCATCCCAATGCTGATTTACTTACACACTTACACTTGCGCGCGCGCGCGCACACACACACACACACACAGGACGGGGGGGGGGGGGAAATCTCCTCCCTCTGCATCAGGGATGGCCACGGATGGAGAGGGGATATTGGATAGGGAGAGCCAGGGCTCTGAGGTAACACTGAGCATTCTATCTCTGGCGCTTGGGTTGCTGGTTCTTGCTCACACATTCAAGATCTAACTGATCACTATATGTGTGGTCAGGAAGTGTCCCCCAGATCAGACTGGCAGGAAACTTGGGGTTTTTTCACTGTCCTCTGAAGCATGTGGGTGCAGGTCACTTGCTGGGCAATATCTCACTTAAACACTGACCTGCCATTGCAAGGGCCTCAGGTATTGGTGCACCTCAGTCCCTTCTAGTCTCTGCCTGTGGCACATAATAGTCTAGTCTCCTCTGGGTTGTAATACTTTGGTCTAATTTCAGTTGTTGGGTTAATTTGCGGATGCTGGGGGGAGGTGGTAGCCTGCGATATACAGGAGATCAGACTAGATGATGTTAAACACTAAGACTATGAACTATAGTGCTTGGTAACATGAAAAAAAGTAATATTTGGACAGGAAGAAGGAGGCAAGATGAAAATAAATATTGTATTAAAGTGAGTTTGTCAAGTTCTATCTCTACCTCATTTGCTGTCCCCCTTCCTCTCCCACTTATTGCTGGATTTTACATTTATTACTACTAAATCCCTTTTATTGTCTGCAGTCCTCACCATTTCAATCACCACAGGTCACTTTACAATTTATTTTTTGGCTTACTGTGATTAGCACCCATTTGGTATCATGAGCAAATCTGATCATGGGTAAATTTAAGAAACAGTTCAAATAGCTTTCCACTACTGAGCAGTAACTCAAACACTCACAAGGGAGTGCTCTTCTTAACAGATTAATACATGCTCAACTGAAACTCCTTAGTGGGATTATTTCATTTTTCATTACATGCTTCCCCACTGCAGCGAAAGGAACTCTGCAGAAAACCTGGAAGCACTTCATTGACTTCTTTACACACAAGATAAGCACCAAGAAGAAAAGGGAGGCAGGACAAAGGAGGGGATTTACATTTTAAACGCTCTTGGTTTCTTGAAGCTGAAAATTCACTATAAGGAAATCCCAGGGCAAAACTCCAAAGAACTTGACCTAACCTATACTAAATATCCACTCCCCTAAGAGTCTCCCAGATGCAATCTCAAACCAGATACTAGCAGAATGGCTTGCTAAATTGCTGTGCTACCATTGGTTCCTTTAGTGGGGTAATTTCTATTTCCAGCTGCTCCCACTGTCCAATGGGAATTGAAGATGCAGACAATGTTAGTCACCACATTCAGTAGCTATTCTGACTAATCTCCTCCCCCAAAACTTCCCTCAAACACTATGTGCAAGGAGGCTGTAGTGGGAGAGGAGTTTGACTTCCCCTCTGACCAACCCCATTTTTGTCTGATAAACAGGGGCCCCTACTCTTTGGGGTTGCCACCCATCGGCGTTTTACCCTGCAGTCCAGTTTTTGACTTCTGTTTTCCTGGTGCCAGGTGCCCGCTTTTCAGCCAGAAAGTATGGTCAAAAAGGGGATGTGGCAGTGTCCAGTCAAATGTACTGAGCGAGCGAACACCAAAAAGTCCAGTAACTGTGGGGTAGGGGGAGGTGCTGGATCATTAACCTGTGCCAGCCCCTGCTCAGCCAGGGCTGCCTCCTACCTGCAGGCAGGCTCCTTGTCAGGCTGCAGCAGCTCCCACCCCAGCCCTGGAGGAGAGGGAGCCCGGGGGGGGGGGGGGGGGAAGAAAAAAAGAGACCATCCAGCAAGCAGTAGGGGAGTTGAGGGGGAGGGGCCTTGGGGGAAGAGGTGGAGCAGGGGGCAGGGCCTTGACAGTCCAGTTACCAGCAATTAGAAACATGGCATCCCTACTACTCCTGCTGCCATCAAACCTCATACCTATAACTTTTAACACTCTCAATACTTCCAACTCCTAAGGGAATTGCCTCAACTCCTGTTATAATTGCTCATACTGAAACCTTCTCATTCTCTGTGCAAGGTCTATGATGGGGAAAAGGGACAGACAGGTGGTGTGCAAGAAGGGAACTGTTTTAAAGGAAGAAGGCTGGAGGCAGCAAGAGGGAGCACAAAAAGGGCAGAGGAGAAATTTAAATTAAAAAAGGAAAATTAAGAAAAAATTGTGGAACTAATGACACATAAAAAGCAACACGATTTAGTTGAAATATGGTATGTTGTCATTCCTTTATCCTATCCTGTGTCCGTTTTGTCTATTTAGATTGTAAGCTCTTAAGGACAGGGAACTACCTTTATTCTATATCCGAGAGGGTCCTAACACACTTTTGGATGCCTGACAAATAATATACTAACAAACACGTTTTTGCTTCCCTCCACACCACAGAGTTAATCATGCACAGTATCTGTGTGCCTGCACACAGGAAAGAGGACAGAGTGAGACAAGTAGAGTGTTTTATTTTCTGTAAAGTTGCTTTCTGCTAAAAACCAGGAACAGTGCCTTATATGCTTATGCAGGGAATTCTTATGCTTTTCAAACATCTTATACTTTTCAAACATTTTTCAAACAACGTAACAACAAAATGTTAAACTGTTAAGAGTACTAAAGTAGCGCCCTGCTTATAGCACCTAAAGATTTATGGATATGTGAATTTATTATAGAGCAAAATAAATAATGGTCTCCCGTGCATCAGTGATCTCCAGTTAACCTCAGCTAATTCTTGTCAAAATGTACTTAAAAAACTTATTTTGGCAGTTTATAGGAACTGTTTTTTTTGGTAACATATTAAAAAGACAAACAAACAAACAAACAAACACACACACCGCACTGCAACTATATAAATACCAACTACATCTGAGCAGTTTTACATATAAGAATAAGAAAAATCATGAAGACTTGTTAAAATTTATGTTGGAACTAAACTTCTTCTGCTGCTTCATCTAGAATTCCAAAAATACTACAATATTCAAAGTTTTAATCATAAAAAACGTAATATGCAAGGTTTGTTCAATTTTATGGTCAAGGTCTGGAGTTTGGCATTTTAAATTGGATTGCTGGGCAACTATTGTTTTGAACAAATTAAACTGTACAAAAAATTAAGGTTTCCGGCAAGACCCTGTGTATATTTAGGCAATGTAGATCTGCACATGAATATAAAATTGTCTTTTTTTAAAATTGCTATATAACTATGCTTGTAATCTAAGTTTTCTTTTAAGAATAATTACATTTTTAGCCTTTATGGTTGTGAAGAAAAACTTCAGAATCTTAAGTGAAAGTAAGTCAACGCAGTTTTGTCTGCCTGAGTTGACAGATAGCCTGTAACAGTAAATCCAGGGAACGTATGAATGGCCCACATTCATCTGAGTCAGGGTGTTGTTATTTCTATAATACCCAGAGAACTGTGCTAGTCACTTTACAATCATTTAAGAAGGAAGTTCTGAGGCCCAAAGAGCTCAGTTTAAGCAGAAGAAAAACTGATCGTGAAGGGAGGCAACGAACAAGCAAAATGACTGAGGTAATGTTTTATGCAGTGCAGTTGTAGCCATGTTGGTCCCAGGATATTAGAGAGACAAGATGGGTGACAAGCTCTTCTTCAGGTCTGGAAAAGATACTCCCAGCATCATGGCAAAACCCAAGGTGGAACAGACTGTTTAGCACAAGTAGTTAGCACATACTGTGAGGGACTAACACCTCTGCAGTCATAGGACAAAAAGAGGGGATTAGGGAGTCTCAAACTGCTGATGTCACAGTGTCTAAGACTGTAATAAGAACAGGAGTACTTGTGGCACCTTAGAGACTAACAAATTTATTAGAGCATAAGCTTTCGTGGGCTACAGCTCACTTCTTCGGATGCATAGAATGGAACACACAGACAGAAGATATTTATACATACAGAGAACATGAAAAGGTGGAAGTATGCATACCAACTGTAAGAGGCCAACCAATTGAGATGAGCTATTAGCAGCAGAAGAAAAAAAACCTTTGAAATGATAATCGAGATGACCCATAGAAGGTGTGAGGAGAACTTAACATGAGGGAAAAAGATTCAATTAGTGTAATGACCCATCCATTCCCAGTCTCTGCTGATGCAGCTGTATGAAACTACAATAATATATACAAGTCTTGACTGTTCTCAGAGTATATCTAATAAAAGCAAGTGTCATTTGCATCAAGTATTAAGTTCTCCTTACACCTTCTATGGGTCATCTCGATTATCACTTCAAAGGTTTTTTTTCCTTCGGCTGCTGATCGCTCATCTCAATTGATTGGCCTCTTACAGTTGGTATGCGTACTTCCACCTTTTCATGTTCTCTGTATGTATAAATATCTTCTATCTGTGTGTTCCATTCTATGCATCCGAAGAAGTGAGCTGTAGCCCACAAAAGCTTATGATCTAATAAATTTGTTAGTCTCTAAGGTGCCACAAGTACTCCTGTTCTTTTTGCAGATACAGACTAACACGGCTGCTACTCTAAGACTGTAATGAAATCTAATGATGACGATTTAAAATGTCAGCAATAAACTATTTGGCTACTAATCACTGTAGCAGAAACGATCAGCTAAACATGCTTATCCGTCACTGCTGGACGAAATACCAGATATTGGGGCAAGGAACAATAGGGAAGTTAGCTGCTGGTAAGAGTTGCTGAGAAGTGGCAGAAAACAAGAAGTTCAAACCCCACTCATGTCTGAGCCTGCCTGAAAGGGAAAGAGGACATGCATCCCATTACCGAAAGCTTCAAATACATTGTAGGTGCCAAAAACAACAACAACAACAGGCTTTCCACTTTCCTGAGCGTCCAAAATCCCAACTGTGAACTAACCCAGCCATGAAAGCCTCAGGATTCCCCCTACAACTTGTACTATGCAGTTATGCATTTTCAATACTAAAACCAACAGAAGGTCAAAAAGAGAAAAAAAAATTGCGGCGGAGGTCAGGGGAGATGAGCATAAAATAAACTCAATCTTACATTAAACAACAACATATTATTATACTGATTGTGCTGTTCTGGACCAAGGCTGAGTGCTATGAAGGGAAGAAGATATGGGAGGCAGAGGTACATAATTCTAAGGTTCCTGTCACATAATTTAGGTCTAAAATGCCACATAGGACAGAGCCTTGGTTATAGGCTTTGAAACTAATTCACAGTATTTTAATTTATTACCTGTGGATTAAAGTAGTGTGAAAAACTCTGATCTCCACCAGAGAAAATTCTCTTTACACAATAATATTCTTCACTGTCTGCAATGAAAATAAAATTTAGTTAATTCCAAATCTTAGTTTGAAATGGCATATCACATTGCAATTGATACAATGACTGCTTGTCTATGAATCAAGCAATCAAGAAGGGTCTCTCTGCAGAAAGCACGATGTTATCACCCCTGCTCAAAGCTGGTCGACACAACACAGTGCTTAAAACAGCAGCAGCCACAGAAACCTTGGACTACACTCGCACACGCACTTTTGTTATGCCCAAAGGAGCTAAATGAGTGGCATCATCTGTAAGATTTTAGCAAATATTTCCTAGTGCAGAAAAGGTTTTAGGGAGGTGGAAGTGTTCTTCTCCGATGCACTGGGAAATCATAGTTGGCTACCTCCCAAAGCCCAAACAATGCAGAAATAGTTTAAAGAGTTAATATGTAGTGTCACACATTTACCTGTGCTTGGTGGGCACTGCCCACTATAAGGAATCCAGTTTCCTTTTACTGTGAAGGGACTTTTCCTATTACTGGTTGATCCTGTTCCTAACTGTCCATTACCTCCAAGACCAAAGGAGTAAATTCTTCCAGATGAAGGAACAAATGCAGAGGTGTGCTGCCTACGGCAGAGATACAAAATTTAAAATAAATTATGCAAGCACTGTAACATGCTATGTGCAGGTCAAAATAGGACTGTTAACAGTATATTTAACGTCCTTCAGGATGTTACCAGAAACTATGCGTTCCAAGGTAGTGAAATAAAAGGACCTGCCAGGAACATTAGGGGACAGAGCAGCCACGTGGAGCCCGCCATCCCTTCCCACCCAAAGCCTGACATGGAGGGTGGTCTTGGACATTTAGAATTTAAAGTTTCTGCCAGACTGGCTGGAATTCTTTTTCCTCTCAGCCTTAAATTCATGGTAGAGGAGGGGACAGCATGGGATAAACAATCATGAATTAATGTAGACTGCTAACAGGGAATGGTCCCGTCATGGTCACCATGGATAGACAGAATGGTAATTGAGGACAGTTTATATTTAAAAAACAAAGCATCCCTAACACCAGCACCATCATTTTGCTCCTATGTGTATCTTTCTTCCATTCTTTGTCTTTGCCCTTTTAGATTACTAAATCTTTGGGACAAGGACAGTGTCTTCAGCTATGTCTGGGAAGCATCTACATTTTGGGTGCTACTACAATCTGAACAATGATAAATGGCTTGAACTAGGAGTACACACACATATATGTTGAACACCCACTGCCCTGAAGCCATCATCTAGTGCTTTTATATATATATAAAAAAAAAAAAAAAAAAATTTTTTTTTGTCCTTTTTTTTAATCTAAAAAAATCATATAAATTTTTTTTTTTTAAAGTTTTTGGTTTTTTTTTTTTTTTTTTTTTTTAAATGCTTGTTAGATACTGTTTATTGCCTTCACTTAACATGCAAGGACCAGAATTAGGAAGGCAAGGATGGACACAGGTTAAAAATAAATGATTATTGCAGTTGTTCTGTTTAGAGAGTCATACATCTTTGTGGTACATTTTTTATTTAATACTGTTTAAGATAACACATTTAAGTACTTCAAGTCTAACAATTTTGTCCTTACCCCTTATCTGTAAGGGTCAGAGTTCAGATACTTCACTATACAACTGGATGCTCAATGTACAAAATATTTTTGCCATTCATAGCTCTAGTACAGAATGGAACTTACCTCCCACAAGCGATCTGTGTGACAATGCTTCCCATAAGTTCAAAAACTTTCCTTGGGTTTATCTCATGGCTGGTAGAGTTATGACCCAATTGTCCATAGCCTCCAGCTCCAAATGTAAAAACCCCACCTTCCTAAACAAATATATTTGGATTAAAATTAGAATACATTGAACAATAAGAATCATCTATTGTACAGTTCTCCTTTCTTGGTTTATATAATTTTAACAAGATAGTGGAATAGAAAAATAAGGGTACTCTTACAAGTTAATTCCATATATGAAAATGTAGTACACCTATCATATATTACACCATTGTTAAATAATGTTCTTGAAATTTCCACATTATTACACAATAATTCTGCCATTAACTTGTGGCATTAATATGATACTAAACCTTGTTTTTTCGTCTTTTCCGCAGATGAACTACAATTGCACATAAAAACTCAAAAAAAACCCCAGGAAAACCCTAAAACTTAATTCATAAATATATTTCACAATAATTTCCAAATAGGAAGCTGCCCTACTCAAAGAAATGATGCAGAGTATGATTGAAAGCATTAGCTTCATCATTTGAAAGCACAGGATATCAAAAAGTTTCAACATGGTTGTAAGGCAAGTTCAATTATTTAAAAAAAATGTTTTTGATTAATTTAACAGGAAATTAACCAAAAACCATAACAGAAGAATGTTAATCAAAAATGTTTTTAAAAGTTACGCAACTTACCTTACAACAACTGTGAAAATTTCCATATTCAAATGCTTTCAAATTGCAAAGCTGATTCTTTCAATTCTACTCTGCACCAGACTGGATCTCTGCTGGAAATCGTCATTAAAATGGCAGCATCCGCTGAGAAAAACAGCCCCATTCACTGAATTAGAATAAACAGTGCCAGGTACTTCTAAATTCTGGAAGGGCTTTTTAAAATACTCTCACATACAACCAGTTTCTCCACACACAGAAATATATTAAGACCCTAATTTTGCAATGTACAACATGCAGAGGGACTGCTGGGCTTGAAGGGACTACAGAAAAATCATGTTAGTTTTAGTATTTACAGTAAATTAACATATCTTAATCCATTCACATTAAAGGGATAGTGTCAACTTACACTTCTTGTAAATCTGATTTAACTATTTTACTAATAATGCCTTAGTAAAAGGAAAAAAGTTAAAAATACAGTTTACTGGTCACTATTTTGTTTAGACTGTGCATGTCTCAACTTGGACGATTAGTATCAGTGAAATCAGTTTCAATTTCAGGATTATAGCGGTGCAAATATTTGGTTCATATACACTGCAGGGTAATATTTGTTCAGAAATAATTGCTTCTATTGGACATCTTTTCCTACAATTATGGAGAGATTTCCATTATTTGAACATTTTTCATAAACTAATTTATACAAAATACAAAAAAGAGACTACAATAAATAACGCACTTAAACATAAACTGAAGGGTAAGTGTCAGTTGTGGTTCAGGTATTCACCTCTGTATAGGACTGAGCTACAATGACATAAAACTAAGAACCCCTCAAATAAAGGATGTTTCTTTCATGAGAGGGCTGAAGCTACTGGTAAAACCCTGAAGGAAGCTCATACTCTAACTGCTTGCACAGTAGTTATCCTGTGGATAACGTCGGACAATTTCCACTATTGCTAATTACTTACTATTTACAAGTAATACTGCTGCTAAATTAAAGTAAAATCCATCAACTGTACAATCTAATTTGGAACTAACCTTGTCAGTGAAAACTTTATGACAAATGCAGTAAAAGTAAAACCATCCAGCTCAGAAGTTTATGTTAGTATTTAGAACAGTGCACTCTAAAGCTCAACTATCACAGAGTTTAAATAATGCCATAAGCAATGTTGTGGTCACAAATTGTTTTTAATAATGTAAAAATCTTGCAAATTCATCTTTAGTAAAGCTGACACATTTTAGACCAGGGGTTCCCAAACTTGGTTTGCGGCTTGTTCAGGGTAAGCCCCGGCGGGCCGCGAGACGCTTTGTTTACCTGAATGTCCGCAGGTATGGCTGCTCGCAGCTCCCAGTGGCCGCGGTTCGCTGTTCCCAGCCAGTGGGAGCTGCAAACCAAGTTTGGGAACCCCTATCTTAGACTGAAGCCTGGTCTACGTTTACAAGTTAGGTTGACATAGCTACGGCACTCAGGAGCATGTAAAACCTCTTCCATCATTGTAGGGAGCACCTACACGATGGTGCTACAGCAGCGTAGCTGCAGCACCAAAGCTGTGCCACTGTAGTGCCTGTACTATTCTACATTTTAAATATAGACCCACATTCTTCATAAGTTACATAAGGTTTATGTAACTTATGAAGAATGTGGGTCTATATTTAAAATGTTTAACCTTTCTCTTACTATTATCATGATTTCACAGGCCATATTTTATCCATCTAACTTTTAAGAAATAGAAATACATTGCAATAGAAATATTGCATTTAGAGACTTTAAAAGAGCATTGTTCACTGCTACATGAAGTGCCTAAATTAACAAATCAGACGATACTTTAAGTACTGTACCTTTGTAAGAGCAGCTGTATGATCTTCTCCACAACAGATGTGAATAATTTTCTGAGATCTTAGGGACTTCAGCAGATTAGGAACATACCTGTCTGAAGGTTTTAATAAAAAGTTGGTCACATTATAATGTCAGTACATTTAACGTGTTTTGAAAAAGAAGTTGCATCAAAAAGCTCTGTCTCCAGATTTAACTTTCAAAATTAGTGATCTTTTGGCCCAAATTTATGAATCTATAGGATTCAAAAATTATAAGAACCCAAAATACAGAGGCATTAAGTGAGAGGTACCATATAAAAAAAATATTCGTCCTGAATTTTGATAAACAAAGGTTTACACTCCTTAAAATTAAAGGCACTGGCTCATGAACATTATCCCACAAATCATGAAATACAATGCAGTACATTAGACCTAAGGTGGACAATGCAGGAGAAATTATCCCATGCATATGTTTTAGATGATGAAAAATGTTAATTTGTTTTTTTAAAAAGTAAAGTGTACAGAGATAAATTACATTGAATTTGCACACTCCAGGAGTTTAAAAAATGTTTTTACACAGCACATGAGATACTGTTATAGCAATAGACCATGTCAGAGTTCATGTTCGTTTTAGAAGCAGAAGTTAATTTCCCTGCAGATATAACAGACTAAAACAGCATTGTCATCTAGTTGCACAAGTGAAAATTTGTAAACTAACAATACTAAAGAAATGTTTAAACGTACAATGACAATTGTATAACTTTATTTAAAAATAATTTTCTGTACATTAAAAATGTATGCTTTATCAGTGTCTGATAAAAATGGGGTAATGTGGACTCTAAAGAGCATCTACAAAGACTATGAAATTTGAAAACAATGTGTTTTCGTTTTCCACCAGACTGATTAACTCTGAAAACATGACCACTAAAAACCAGTTTCGGTCTTTCTAATTTTCTCATTGTAAAAAGGACAACCATATTTAAAACTATTACTTCAGAAATAAGTTTCAGTTCTACTGTATTTTTATTGAGAAATTTTAGCGAATTATAAATTTTCCCCATTCTCCACCTAACATGGAACCGACACATATCATTTCCATAGCTAACTGCCTCATTAACCAGTTCCCAGCACAATTAGACATTTTGTTCTGATTTCATCTGAGATTAAATTTGGTAATTCATAAATTCTGCATCTGTAGATTAATTTACAGACTATAATTAGCACTAAATTGTCTATATGCCACAATACATGCGTAACTACAAGCCCTGAAACTTGGGGGGTGGGGAACCTACTAGTCCAAAATTGTTTGGCAAATCCCATTAAGAGGAAAGGAACATTAATTTTTCCTCATCACATGGTTTGTTTTTAAATTATTACTAAATAAACAGACCAAACAAAGGAAATATTTTATAATCAATACAGTCCCCAAAAGGGGTCGTTGGAAGACAGAAGACAAGGCAAATATATAATGAAAAAGATATGTTAAATTTGTCTGTGTATACTATTATCTATTAGACTATAGTTAAAAGCAGTCTCAGAAAATGTGATCATTTACCAAAAGGTAGATTGTTCAAGTTCTAAGTAACTGAACAGAATCATTTTTGTTAAGTTAATTTAAAAGAGCAAAGGAAAGGTTAAAAAGAAAAGAATGAGAGCTCAAACGCTTTTTCATTCATAAATAGAAAGGGAAAGGGACTCAGCAGAATTACAGGACAACTTTGTCAGTGAGAGCTTTTACCATGAAGCAATGAGACAATATCTTTTCTATTTTCTCTTTTGTATGTAACTATGACTTCAGCTCTCATAAGTAGTATCTGACAGGACTGTCTGGATGATCCTGTCCCATTTCCAGGGACCCAGTTACACCTGACCTCATTCTGGAGTGGGCAAAAGAAACAGAGGTTACACACTTTAGTCCCACTTGATAAAAGCTCAGCACATATGCAAATGTTGCAGTCAGGGCCTTACTTGCTAATTCACAATACATCCTTAGTCTGTCAAGAGGGAAGCTGTCCTGGGTTTTGAGTTACAAACTCAATCCAGGGTGCCCAGGCAATGGTGAATGTAAAACCAGACACTGAATTAACAAGACCAGGATGTTTATATAACTCTGCTAGTCAATGATGCGGACAAGAGCCACAATGAAGACTTCCAGTGTGAAATATTTTGAAGTAACAACTACTCACCATTTTCATCATTAAGACCAAGTTGACCAAATTTGTTGCGTCCCCATCCAAAAATGGCTCCGGAAAGAGTTAGTACAAAACTATGTGCTCCTCCTGCTGCAATTTGTGCAAAAGGGATTCCCAGTAAAGATTTAATCAGTTGAGGTGAAGTCTGCTTTTTAAATTCATAACCTATACCCAGTTGGCCATATTTATTCTGTCCCCAGGAATAAACTTCACTTCCTGTTAAAGAGAAAAAAAGATCTAAGATGAAGCAGGATCAACATACTTTAAACATAATTTAAAAGTGTGTTCAATACCTTTAACAAAAAGGACAAACTCATGACCTTTCAAAAATTAAACAGCTAGACTATTTTGTACAGGGAATTCAAATAATTTCAGTAGTTCAGAGATTTTTATTGATTTGGTCTTTCAAACTCAAAACTGATTGTAATTTGAGATTGAAGTCAAACTGAAATGTCAGACTAATTTGAAATTAATATTTAAATCAATTCAAAAACTTCAAGGTTGCACATAACTTTTTCACATCAGCAGCACCAGCTAATTATTAGCCTTATCAAGTAAGATGGAAATGGAACAGTACGTGCTTCCATCACTTATTAAAAATGCCACTGAAATTAATACAAATATTGATGTAATTAGTCTCAAATAAATGTAATAATTTTGCTACTGAAATGATAATTTACAGCATGAACCACCATTCTGTAACTTACTGTACTATCCACAATAGCTGGCATCTATTGGATAGTTTAAGAAAAGAATTATCACGTGAAGTTTTGAAGCCTTTTCAGTAAATGTTAAGTTTCAAATTTTATCCAATTACTCAGAGATCACATCACTACTTCACACTTTTATTGGCTCAAGTTAGAAATACTTATCTATACACAATTGTAAAATAGCAGCCTTGTCCACTACAGTAAGGAAGTTTTACAAAATTACTCACTATTGCTAACATTTTTTCAACTCCACCCACGTCAGCAACACTGCAAAGCCCTAGAATGGATGGGCCATTGGCTTTTTAAGCACAGGCATTGATTAGACCTGCTCTGAGCAGGCTTGGACGACACCATTAAAAATACTAGAGGCCCATCTACACCATGACTCCCAATGTTGCTAACACTGGTGGACCTGAGTCAGCACTAGTAATGGTCATTTTTTTAAAAAATTCCCTAATGTAGACAAAGATAATACGGCAGTTGTGTTGAGCTCTTTTTTAAAATTAAATATTCTGTAAGAACAATAGCCCTTTGTAGGTATACAACTTTTTTTTTGCTATGTCGGTCAGAAATTGACTCTCAAATAGCATATATCAAAAACCAAATGTACTTGTCCCAAATTATTAAACTCAATATATACCAAACAAAAACAATTCAACAACTGTTATAAAGGTTTGGTTCATATAAGCTGACAATTTAGGATGTGAAGAACAATGGAGGAGGCAAGTGATGCAGGTTTGTTTGTTTTTTACATAATTCTCCATTTGTAAGTTCAACTTTCATGATAAAGGGATTGCACTACAGTATTTGTGAGATTAACTGAAAACAATTTTTTTTTTTTACAGTGAAATATTTGTAATCAAAAATAAATATAAAGTAAGCACGGTACACTTTGTATTCTGTGTTGTAATTGAAATTAATATATTTGAAAATGTAGTAAACATCCAAAATATTTAAAATAAATGGTATTCTATTGTTGTTTAACAGTGTGATTAATCAAACAATTAATTTTTTAATCACTTAACAGCCCTAGTATGAACCAATCAGCCAATGACCAGGCACTTTACAATCATCACTGACAAAGCTGGCAAGACTCAGTTCAAGACAACTGAAAAAATAACGAGACCACGAATGACCTATTGAAATAAATGGGACTACTCATACACATGACATTATGCAGATCCATAAATGTCTGCAGGATTAGGGCCATACTTAACATTGTAAAATGCTCTTATTCATCAAGATCAAGTGACAAATTGGATTTTCACATTTTGATTTCCATAATACTCTCAAAGAACATCAGTAAAACAATTACGTATTTTGGAGACTTGTCATACATTTCATTATTTTCTTTTAACTCTATGTCAATTAGAGAGTAGCAGAGAAAAATAATTCTAGGGCTATCAGGACAGAGCTATGTTTTTATAATAAATATCAAGTAAAACAACTCAGAACGTTCCTTTTTTTTTTTTTAATTAAATAAAAAGGTAACATAGCTAAGGCAATAGGAGGTGGGACTTGGCACAGTGTCAAAGGCACCTTGGAGATATATTTTAAAAAGTGGTTCCTTCTTAAAAAAATTCTATAAAAAACAGTTTTGAATTACCCAATAGGAATTCACATAAATACTGCAGAACAACTTTACTTACCTTTTGAGAGTGCAAGTGAGTGACAGTAGCCACAGGCAACTTGCATTATTTGGATATCTGATAAGCTTTTGATATTTCTATGGGATTAAAAAGGAGAAGGAATTAGACCACCAGATCTTGGCACTATGAAACAGTACAACATCTGAAGGAGCAATACAGAAATGCAAGTTAAACCTTTTCACAAAAAGTAGAGCTAAACCTACTTGAAATATTATAAAACATCTTTTAATTTAATTTGTAAATTACAAAATATTAATCCAAAACTCTGGCTAGCTGTAACCCACAGAATTTGTTACTGAGTTTTATTAATAAATCAGAGATTCCTCTGCAGAATTAGGACTTTTGTTTGGTGTTATCTTGTTTCAGGGGCACAAGGATGTCATCCACCTGAAGATCTAACACTGAAAGGGAGATGCAAAAGGAGATTGGCCTCCTAGATCTAACAAAAGCTTTAAAATATGTTATTCTTCACCATGTTAATACAACTTTTTGGCCAAATAATTCCAATTGGTTTACAAGGATCAGATTGTTTTTTCCTTATGCCACATACATTTGAATCCTCACTCCATTGCAGTCAATGAGAGTTTTGAAACTGCACTCAGTGGGGCCAGAATTTCACCCTAGGAATATAACAAGCTTACGTGAGCTGTCTGACCTGACAATCTTACTCAAAAACCTGTAAGCGTATATACAGATGCATGAAATCAGTCATAGCATTTTGTTTTAAACTAATGCTGTGACTGTGACGCTGGCAGACCAGGTGCCAGCCCATGTAAAGGCCTCCAGGCCTCAACTGAATATTGACTAGGGTTACCATACGTCCGGATTTTCCCGGACACGTCCAGCTTTT